GATTACGCAGTGCTCATACGTCAGAAAATCCTTAAGCAATCTATACTGATTTTAGGCCGTACTAGGACTTTTTCGTACAACTCAGCTTTAAAACTTGGAATTTCCACCTTCCTGCTTCTTGTGTGGGCAAAGGGCCAAACACAGAAGAAAGTATAACGGGGTTCGACTGGGTAAAGGCTTTATACCGGGTTAAGCTGGCGGAAAATATGGCTATGCGAAGCGTACGTGCTATTCTATGAAACCAAGCAAGAGTACAAAAAGAGTCAACGAGTTTCCTCTATATACCCACCATTGCTTCGTAGTTTAAAAAACAAACAACAACCCCCCTCCCCACCCAAACTCTCCTCCCAAAAAAACAAACAAACAAAAAAACCCCCAAAACAACAACAACAGAAACAAAAACGTTGTCGAAGGTCAAGCATGGCCTTCTGTTTTTTCACAACAAAGATAAAACTGTCATAAATGTCACGACAGGTTTATACTGGTCAAGGTCAGTCTGCTCTCCCAGTATTTGCAACATACCTGTTTCGTCCCTTTACTGTTTGGATTCTACTTGAATAATTATAAGCGTTGTTTTCGCCCCTTCCTCTTCTACACAGTTTAGATGATTTAGTTACTGGCCAAAATATAATTGGGTAGAGTGGGATGCAACGTCCCCAAAGAAAGACCGGGGTACTCGACAAAAACTATCCCCACATGGGAATCGAACTCGGGTCTTCTGTGTGTGACGGCAAGGCTCCTAACCGCTACACCACGGATAAAGGTTTTTTAAAATTAGAATTTATTTCAGTATATGAGTGGTTGGCAGTTGTTGTGGTGTGGTTTGATCTTTTTTTCTTCTCTCAAACATCTATCGTCCTAACCTCTCCTACTTCTTTTTTGTGTTTGTCACTCTTTTGTAACACCTCTAATCTTCGAAATCTATAAGACCTTATTGAGTTGCATGCGCCGTAAAAATTTTATTTACTAAACACTAAACAGGTTTCGGTAACTTGTTGGGAACAGCGAAGTAATACAGAAAGTGGAGCACCGGGATTTATTGTTTAGTGGTTAGGCTTTCCGTTGTTCCTTGTCCATACCACAGGTTTGAGTTCGGGTTCCTTGATGGGAAGTTTGTGTCACAGCACTATATATCTGACGGCTATTTCTGTCGAAACATATAACCAACCACCGAAACAGGCCTATAAATACAAGCTAAATCTTTTTGCAAAGCTTCTTCTCTAGAGGTACGATCTTAGAGCTCAAGAAAAACATTCTGGATCTCCGCGACAGAAAGCGAAAAAATTCCAAAGCTGGGATGCTTGACACGGTTCATTTAATTAATAGTCCAATTGTACTCTGAGGGATAGACTTGATTACCCTTATTTTCCGTGGTTATGGCAATACGTAAAGAACAGAGGACGACCAGAAAGAGAAAGACGACCTCATCTCTACAGGGTTTCCCCCTTTTTCCGGAGTTTATGTGCGTGTCTCTGGGATTTGAGGGATTTTTGGAGGGATTGGAAACTGTCAACGTATAACGTTAAAGAAGAGCTACGATGTGCGCAGTATTGGCCATGTCATACCTTTTGGGTCTCTATTTCTTTCTTTCCTTTTTTCTTTTTTAGATAAACACCTGAGATTGGAAAGAAATGGTTGACAGTGACACTGCTCAGCGCGTATACATACATACATAATACGTACACACGCGCAAGCACACACATACACACATACACACACACCTAACTACCTACCTACC